ATGGGCCCCACTCCTACCCCCAGGGTGCTTCTGCCCGGTCCCCCTGAGGCTCACTGCTCTCATTCACAGGGTGCTCTGTAGCTTCCAATGTACAAATCCGGCCGTTGCCCCATCAGCCCGCTACAGGCCTCGAGTCCATTTCTCTTACCTCACATGGCAAACCTGAGCGAGTGGCCAATTAGAATGACTGTTCCCTAAACAACTGTGGGGACTCGACCCACTCATGCCATGGAGAGGGTGACTCAGAAAGCAGGACCAAGTCCTTTCCCCCACAGTGACAGCGGGTGGCTAACCAGAGCAACCTCGGGAGACCACAGGCTCTGGACAGTGATGGGACGGCACATTCAAGGTCATGGGGGGTGGGGGACCCCATCTCATCCACCTTGACCAAGAGCTAAACAAGTCAAAACACCTCCAACATATTTCTGTAACATTCTCTGGCGGGGGTGGCATTACATTGGACCATCTGAAGGACAATAAAGTTGCTCCATGCCAATACTTGATTATTCTGACTGAGTTCTTAGAGGGAACCAGCAGTCTGAGACCTTTTTCCCTCAGCTTTACAACCACGTGGGGGTGCTGCAGTTTCCCTTTACTTTCCCCCACCTACCTCCGGACCGGGAATGTCACATGGCGCCCCACCCTCTCCGAGCAGAGAGGCTTCGAGTGTGGCCCCGGGGAGAGGTGGCTTGAGAAAGAAAAGGCAGCAGGCCTGTGCGTGACCCTGACATCAGCAAGGCTTTGACATCAGCAAGGCTTTGTTGGGTCATCAGGATGACCTGTCCCCCCGGCACCCAGGTCCTGAGCAGGTGCTCCAGGCCCCTGGCTCCCGGCTGGGCGTGCCGAGGTCAATGCCCATGAATCGGACTTGGACCCTCACTGGGTGACCGTGCTGTCTAGAAGAAGGAAATGACCCTGACGACACAGAAAACGCATCACATGAAGAGGCCATAGAATTCTGGGTGTCAGTGCGTGAGAGAGGAGGCTGGGAGGGTGCACTGAGCGGTCAGCGCGGTGAGCGGAGGATTGCTGAGCAGGGTGGTCCGGAGTCAGAGCGCAGTGCGGCCGTGGTTCTCAGCCAAGAGTGGTTTGGTCCTCTCCCCGACCCAGTGCGTATCTGGAGACATTTACGTTTCTCACATGGTGGGGGGGGGGGCGGGCCTGGTGAGGGCTAGGGATACCGTACACATCCCACAGCGCTCCACAGAAAATGATCGGCCCAAATGCAGACACTGCCCGGGCCTCGAGGGAGAAGGCAACAGAGGGGTGGGGACCACTGAGTCAGCTATGGCCAAGGTCAAGGCGAGCTGCAGACATAAACCAAAATGTTCCCCTTCAATAGCAACCGTAGAAATGCCAGCTTCAGCGCAACAAAGCATGCATTCCCCCTGGCACCAGCCATTGGTTTCTTAGTCTAGACCAGCGATTCTCCACGGCGGGGTTCGCTCCCCGGGAATATTCGCAACAGGGTCCCTGCTCCCTCCTCTACAGGAAGGACAGAAGATCCTCTTGGCCAAGCCCACGTAGAGAGGGTCCTCACGGGGTTTCTCCGGGAGCCTGATGTACATGGCGCGTCAAGAACCTTACAAAGGCGGCTGCACTCTGATCGCAATATCCCACTTCAAGGATTATTTTTTTTTTAAAGAAAATCACCAGCATGTAGAAAAGCCTCCTGCGCCAAGTTTCCGCATTACTATCATCTCCAACGTGAAGAACGAGTAGCAACGCGAAGGCCCAGCAGTGAAGAAATCGCCAGGCTTTGATCGGTCCGTGAGGCACGTCATTTGGAAGTCCATAAACATTATCTTTGCAAAGTCCTGCTGATATCAGGAAACATTTATGACACGGTGCCAAGTGGCAGAGACCCAGGGGGAAATGACATGTGCAGCTGGAGCTCCGCTCTCTCACAGAAAGAAACAGACGTGCGTAGAGAGAAGGGGAGCAAGTTTACTAAAAATGAGCCATGCTTACTTCGGGGTACTGCGCTTCTTTATTCTGCCCTTTGCTGTTCTCAGGGCCTATCATGTGTTAATGTACGATGGTCTTAGTTGCCTCTGCCTGGACCTGCTGCCTTCCCTTCCCTTCCCATCCACGGGGCCATTCCCAAGACCACTGCCCAACAAAAGTCCATAAATACCCATCTCCGAGTTGAATTCCCAGAGAATCCAACATGCAGCACTGCAAACAGGGTGGAGTTCACCCTGGAGGATGGATGCCTCAGAATCAGCAAATTACAGCCTATGGGACCAACATGGGCCCCCACCTGTTTTTATAAATAAAGTTTTATTGGAACATAGCCGTGCTCATTCGTTCATTGTAACAGTGGCTACTTTCGTTCTACAACAGAAAAGTTAAGTAGTTGCTACAGACACCGTCTGGCCCCCCCAAAGCCATACTTAATCATTAATATCTGGTCCTTTACAAAAAAAAAAAAAAAAAAGCTTGCTGTGGGATTGGTGTGGCTCAGTGCTTGGTCATTGACCTATGAACCAGGAGGTCAGGGTTCAATTCCTGGTCAGGGCACAGGTCCGGGTTGCAGGCTCCATCCCCAGTGCGGGGCGTGCAGGAGGCACCCGATTGACGATTCTCTCTCATCACTCGTGTTTCTTTCTCCCTCTCCCTTCCTCTCTGAAATCAATGCACACATATTTTAAGAAAGAAAGCTCGCTGGCTCCGGATCATTAAGACAAATCTCGTTTGTAAGGTAAGGGCTCCCCAGTGTTTTCCAGCCCCTGGTGGGACTAGACGAGCTGAGTCTAAGGCAGATGGTCTGGTGGGCTGGACACAGACACGTGCTGGCTGTGGTGGCGCCTTCCCGCGGGCGGTATATGTGCTCCATGAACTAAACCCCACAGGCCCCTGCTGGGCGGAGTCTAGTGTCGGCACAGGGCAGACACAGCCCTCCGCGGGGACCTGGCAGGAATCCCTCTGTCCCACACGCCCAACAAGCCATTACAAGACTAATGACATGGCCATCGGCTGCTAAAATAGTCGCTGCTAGTGTTCGCGGAGAGAAATGGCGCGCCTTAAGGCGCGTAAGGGAAATGAATGCAACACGATTATCGTCATCAGTCATTAGTGAACGCTGTAGTTCATTATTAATAATGATGTATAATAGGATATTGTAAAAATTAAGTTACAAAATTTTTATTAAAACGTTTCTTACATACCATTGTATTGGCTGGGCTGCAAAAATACTCGTTGTGGGCCGCATGTGGCCCTCGGGCCGCGAGTTTGACATGCTTGGTGTAGATTATACTAGGACAGGGCGGATGGGGTAGTTAGAGCGTGGGAGCTGTGCCTATAAATCTCAGGCACAGAGTCCACAGCGTGGCCACGAAGGGCTTTCTTGTCACCTGGGAAGAAATACGTCCCATTGCACAGCAGATTCTGAGGGAGAGCCCACCCCCCGCCGGAAGGACAGGGATGTATGTGTGTGTGTGTGTGCGAGTGTGTGTACACATTTGTGTATGCAGGGTGGGGCAACAGTAGGGTTACAGCTATGAGTATGTGAAACGGTTTATTCTTGTATTATTATTTAGTAATCATTGTGCTATTCTTCATGGGAACGACTGTAACCCTACTTTTGTCCCACCTGTAGCTGAGGCGTGGGCCCCCCACGGGAGCCCCAGGATCTGCAGCTTTGAACTTCGGAGCTAAGGGACGCAGAGTCACACAGAATCTCTTGCCCTCACACATTTCACTTCGGGCAGATGAAGCGGAAATTCCTTCAAGCCTGAGGGGTTCTTCAAGAACCCCAAATGCACGCCCGTCTCCCCCCTGCACTCCGCCCGCACGGCTCAGGCGTCCCGACGGTCTGATCCCTCTGGGAGTGTGTCACCAGGCCTCACAGATCCCCGGGCCTTGGCTAGACATAAACCTGTCAAATTAATTACATCCTTTCATGTCTGCGCGCATTCCAGCTTTGACATATTTCACAGCCACTTTTGTTAATTAACACAGCGTTAATGGGTGGGAGTCGCACCGGGAAATGATCACGCACATGCTGCCCTTCCTATTTTACTGCCGTTACCTTTAAATATCGTCCCCACGTGGAAAGGCGCTCGTTCAGACGCCAGAGTCTCTCGCAGAGAGTAAAGCAGAAAATCGAAGTTTGCACAGAGAAAGAGCTTGGCCTCTGGCTGCGGCCCCGTTCCCTCCCAGCCTCCTGGAGCGGGCGTGGCGGGGTGGGGGGGTGGGGGGGCGCCCAGCAGGCCCGGGGACCCTGCCTGCCACGTGACATGGGAACAGCAGCACTTCCTGGCCAAGCTGCTCCACGAAACATGGCCGAGGAGACAGAAAACTCGGCTGCTGTCCGGCCTGGAGAGGCCCAGCTTTGCTTCCTTTAGAAAATGTCCTGTAATTAGTACACACACCCACACACACTCACACACACACACACTCATGCACATGTGCACACACTCACGCACACATGCACACATGCTCGCACATATTCACAAGCACATGTGCACGCCTGTTCACACACATCCACACATATGAACACACACAGGCACACACATACACATATGCGCGCACACACACATACACACACGCTCTATTATGGAGCCAACCCACAAATATCAGCCGTCTGATTGACAATGAAAGGGCAGGCTCTGGGCACCGTGGATGTGCAGACGCTGGGACCAGAGACAACCTCTGGGGCGGGGCCCTGTCCTCGCCTGCTCTGGGAGGACGCAGCCCACCCAACCCTAAGGTGACCTGGGCCACAGTTTCTGCCTCTGCACATGCTCTGGATGTGTCGTTGGAACAAAGCTTGGAGGGTCAGCCTCTCCTGATCCCAGGATCTCATCCCGGGGAGCCCGCCAGCACAGACACCGCAGGGTGCGGCCCGTGGACTGAGAGCTGCTTCTGGGAGGAGGTGAGTGAGGGAGAAGCTCGCCGTCCACCTGGCCGGGCATTCACCCCGGCACCTGGCCTATGGGGGCGGGGGGGCAGGGTGTCTGTGCTGGGGCCCCACCCGGTAAGCGAGCGTCACTCACCTGCCCGGTAGCTCCAGCCGGGAATGTGGATGGACAGCTGGTTGGCGTGAGCACTGGTGTGACCACCGGTGTGATGAGGAGTCCCGTGGTCCCCCTTCCCTTTCCTCGCCGTGATCTGCCGAGTCCCCGCATCTGCAAGTTCTGTGCTTTCCGTTGGAGGGGGGCCACTCCAAGGGCATGTGCCAGCCCCCAAGTGCACCTGCCCCAAGGAGGGGTGCAGGGCGGGGGCCCAGCGCGGGCCCTGGAGGCCGGAGACCTCCGCCAGCTGTGGCTTCAGGCTGCTGCTGATTGGCCCTCCGGTGGCTGGGCCGTCTGCCCCATCTGGTGTCCGTCTGTGAGAACTGCAGTTTAGGTTGAGCGACAGGACGGCCCTGTGCGTTTGGGGGCCGGCCAGCTGAGTTGGCTCCATGGGGACGGAGGGGGACCTGTCCGGAGAGCAGGTGGCGTTGGGGCACCGCCGAGACACCCTGAGGTGCACACAGGAGCTGAACAGCAGCGGGCCCTGCCCCGACCGCGGGCGGCCTGGGGAGAACCTGTCCTCCCCGCGGTCCACGCTGGCCACCCAGTACTGGCGTCCGTCACACAGCCGTGCATGGGCCTCCGGGAACCCCAGCCGCATCACAGGGCTGCTTCCGGAGGGTTCCGTGCAGGCGAGAGGTCCGTGGTGCCGACCTGGGTCAGCGCCGCTGGCCAGAGCAGGGGGGTCCCTGAGCTGAGGGTCCTGGGCCCGGCACCGGCTGCACAGCGGGTCCCCCCCGGTGCCCCACACCAGGGCCCTGGCTGGGGGGCCCACACGCCGGGCCGTGATGGTGATGGATGCAAACCCCTTCTGGGGGCTGCCGCCCGGCTGCTTTTCCTCTTTGGGGGTGAGCGCAGGCTCCGGTCCTTGCACCCCGGCCGGTGGCTGAGGTCCTAGCTGGCCGGGAAGGAACGCGAAGGCCCTGTTGATGGTGACTCCGCTGCGACTGGCCAGAGCGCGCTTCCCGGGCCACGTGGGCGGCTGAGCGTCGGCGCACAGTGCGGGCACGGCAGCCCCCTTCTCCTGGGGCTTGTTCTCATCGATCAGCTGCGAAATGACTAAGGACGAAATCATTTTCGTGTTGTGTGATGTCAGCGTCTCCTGCAAATGGAAAGAGATCGGAGTTATTCCAGCCACGTGTTCCAGCGTCCGTCCCAGCGCCGGCGCAGGCTCTCCACGGGCCGCAGGGCGCTGCACCCAACGCTCTCGTCCGAAGCCTGTACCCCCGCCTGACTCGGCCTCTGCACACGCAGCCCGGACCTGTGTGCAGACTGATTGCCGTTCTGGGCGCATCCTGCTGCCTGCGGAATCCTCTTCTCCCCCGGGTGTGTCCGCTCTGTTTATTATGGCGTTTGTGGGAGGGGAGCGTCCCATTTCTGTAATCACAGGCCCAAGAGCACTGGGTCAGACCCACGGCCCACAGGCTGATCTTGACAATCGTGAACTATGGGCACACGGTGCAAGGTTGGCATCTAAACACACTTCATGAACAGCACCCCCCCTTTTTTAAAAATATTTTTATTGATTTCAGAGAGGAAGGGAGAGGGAGGGAGAGGTAGAAACATCAATGGTGAGAGAATCATCGATCGGCCGCCTCCGGCACGCTCCCTGCCACTGGGGATCGAGCCCAAAACCGGGGCCTGTGCCCTGACCGGGAATTGAACGGTGACCTCCTGGTTCATCGGCCGACGCTCAACCACTGAGCCACGCGGGCCGGCCTTCCGCAGAATCGGCTTTGATAAAAGCCCCAACCAACCAGTCGGGAGGAAGGAGGAGGGGACAGCACACTCTGCTCCTCGATGCACGGCACAGGCTGGTCTGGGAAGCTCTGGTGACCACACCGTTTTCTCCTGAGACCCAGTAAGTGATGAAGGATCATGTCGGCCTCTCGGAAGTCGTCTCTGTGCGAGGGCTGCCAGCACGGGGAGCCACAGTCTGCTGGGCGTGAGCAACAGGCACGGGTTCCTCACCGTCCTGAAGCCTGGGCTCCCGAGGTCAAGGTGTCGGCGGGGTCCGTTCCTTAAGGTCGTCGTCGTCTGTTGGCTGGTGGGTGCTGTCTCCCCGTCCTCACAAGCTCTCCCCCTGGCCTGTCTGTGCCCATGACTTTCTCATAAGGACGCCAGTCACATGGGATCCCGGCCCCCCAGTGACCTCGTTAACCTCACTCACCCCTCAAAAGACCCCCCATCTCCCAGTACGGTCACCTTCAGAGGTCCTGGGGGTTAGAATTCCAACCTATACATTTGGGGGGACACAGTGTAGCCCATAACAGCCTGCAGTACATCCCTTTGTGTCCAGTTCGCCTTCTGGGGCCGGGAAACCAGGAGTGAGAGGGGACTGGGGAGCTGTTTGAGGTTCCCAAGGCAGGCTACTAATTTTTTTAAAATATATTTTTATTGATCTCAGAGAGGAAGGGAGAGGGAGAGAGAAAGAAACATCAGTGATGGGAATCATTGATCGGCTGCCTCCTGCACGCCCCCTACTGGGGATCCAGCCCGCAACCCGGGCATGTGCCCTTGACCGGAGTCAAACCTGGGACCCTTCAGTCCACAGACCGATGCTCTATCCACTGAACCAAACCGGGTAGGGCTGGGGCTACTATTTTTACAATCGGGCAGGTTTTCCTTAAAAAGCAATCACACCCTTTCCATCAAATACCTTCCCCAATTAGGCGATGTTGGTGTGTCACCCCATCTGTCCTTCCCACTGGGTTCACTGAGCGTGGCTTTGAAAACAGATACCTTTTATCTGAAATAAAATGAACTGATGAGAGATTTCGTTCGAAAGGCAGGAAACCAGCTTGGATTGAATCAGGGCGCTCGAGGTCCGAGAGGTGGGATGATGAGCTGGATGAGTCTCCTGCTTTGCTGGCCCCCCGAGGCCCTGGCCGGCAGCGCCCACTCCCAGGGCCCACGTCCTCTCTCCTAAACGCTGCTGGAGACACCGATTCCTCGTCAATGTCTCAAACGTGACTTGGCAGAGCTGGCGACAGCTCTCCCCGCTTCATACACTTGATTCACTGTTTCTGACTGTATATTCCGGCCCGAAGGCATGTTGCTAAGAAGGGCGCCGATTCCTAAGTGGAAGGAAGGAGGAGCGAGCAGGAGGTGGTCGGAGAAAGCGGGCCCTGGGCCACCGGGGTGAGGGTGCTTCCGTTTCCGTAGCCATTTATTTCCCCAAAGGATAAGCATCTAATTGAATCTATAGGGTCGGCATCTACATTTTCCTCCAGGAGACAATCCCCTGCCCCCTTTTCATCGTCGCTCTGCAACCTACAGCTCTATTTGCCAGATGGGCCTCTGCCCCCGCCCTGCCATAGTCACCTCCACATCAGCCGCCAGCCTGGGGCTGCCGACACCACCGGGTCACCCCTCAGCTCAGTGGCCTTTCGTCCCGACTGTGAGAGAATTTCCAAGCGCCTGAGCTCACTCCGGTTTGTAGCAATCGGATAAGAGGGTTAAGATCGACGGGGACACTGGAGCTTTCCTCCCTCTCCATCCAGAAACTTCTTCCCAGTTTGAGGCCACGGACACTTTCTGTCCTCGCTGTTCGACTGCCGCTCCCTGTTCTCCACCTGCAGCATGCGCATGGCACCGTCTGTCTCCAGCTCTGACCGGGGATTAAAACCGAGATGCCGTCCCTGTACCTCCCACCATGCGGCGAGTTTACAGACTGTGGCGGAGCTGCGGGAGCAGCGGTGACAGCCTGCACGCTGTCAGCCGGGACGCACAGGCCTCGGTCATCACGGAGGCTTCCCGCGGCGCGAACGCGGCGTCTGGCTGAGCAGAACAAACGCGAACACGCAGGAGGAGGCCACGCGCGTCATAGTCGCTGCGTTCTGCTGACGATCCCAGACGTTAGAAACATCCGTTACCCTGGGGAAGGCAGGTTTCTTCTTTGCAACATCAGCTTGGAGAGTTTTAAGGGCAATTTGATCATTTGTACGTACGGTTGCTCCATAACCCGAGGCAAAAGGAGGTAACATTGCTACTTCGTAGTATATGAAAAGGGGAAATGGAGAGCGTGACTCTACAATGAGACTGAACGCCGCCCACTCAGGTAAAACCTCGTCCGGCCCCTCATTCATGCCGCCCTCCCTCCGGCCTCTGAGTCCGTGGGGAGTGAGTGGCTGAGCTACGCGTCCCTCCTCAGTGCAGCTGTGGATGCCCCCAGACTTGGTAACAATTGGACGGTTTTGGTTCTCACACTTGCCTGTGTCCTCGTTTCCCCAGGAGAAGAGAGAATCGCGATTGTCTGTGGACTTCCCAACCCCCCTCGAGTAGGGGAGACTGAGGAACCAGCCCAGCTTTCATCGGCCTCTTCCCGCAGCCATTCTCAAGGAGAAGGAGCCGCTCGGGCACAAACATGGAGCCCGCCGTGGAGGAGCTGAGGAGGGCTCTGTGCTAACTGTGAGGACACAGGAGACGCCGTGGGCAGCCCTCCGTCACCCCGCCAGCGAGGGCCTGGAACGGTGTCAGGATCCGAGTGAGTGCCCAGGAGCGCGCCAGGAATCGGGGCCTGGGCCCTAGTGCTGGCTCCACCATCGCTAGCGCGGTGACGACGGCCCATCTAAGGAACCATCTCGGGAATCCATTCATTCCTACACCTGTCCTGCTCGCCCCACACCTACCCTGCTCGCCCCACACCTGCCCTGCTCACCCCACACCTGCCCTGCTCGCCCCACTCCTGCCCTGCTCGCCCCACACCTGCCCTGCTCGCCCCACACCTGCCCTGCTCGCCCCACACCTGCCCTGCTCGCCCCACACCTGCCCTGCTCGCCCCACTCCTGCCCTGCTCACCCCACACCTGCCCTGCTCGCCCCACTCCTGCCCTGCTCGTCCCACACCTGCCCTGCTCGCCCCACACCTGCCCTGCTGGCCCCACACCTGCCCTGCTCACCCCACACCTGCCTGCTGGCCCCACACCTGCCCTGCTGGCCCCACATCCAAGATGACGTGCACACGTTACTTTCTGTGAAATGCAGATATGAGACCTGAAGCATCTCATGGTCTCTGTGCAAAATTGATGTATGATGACAAAGGACAGCAACACTGAGGCAGACAGAACCCCCCCAGCCCTGAGCCAGCACAGGCGTTGGACCAGCCGGGCCCGGGTCTGCATCCAGCTCGGCCCAGCTCGGCCCACGCTCACCGAGTGTCCTCATTCACCGAGGCAGCCCCCACCTCCTGCCCAGCCGTGCCATCCATGCACTGAGGGCACAGCACAAAGTCGGGGGCCGGCTGGGATGCGGGCGGGGCTCATGCAGGTGATGGCTCGGCATAACTGGTAACGAGCAGGACCCAGGCAGCAGCTGCCCCGCCCGACTCCCGCCTCAGTGGCCCCTGGAATCAGACCCCAAAGTCCCAGGGTCTCCAGCTACGTTTGGGCAAATTACTCAGCATCGTTGGTTTCTTGCTGTGACATGGAGGTAACAGCAGTGCCCACCTCCTAGAGTTCTTGAAAAAGATTAAGTGCCCCAACTAGCCCCTGGCACATGCACAGAACCCGGCGACGTGCAGCTGACAAGCTGCTGGGACGTGCCGGCCTCCCCGGCGGGGAGGAGGGGGCCTGCGGGAGGGACAGGCAGGGGCTGTGCACGGGCCTCCTGCAGCCGCTGTAACAAATGACCACACGCTGGGGGTTGGCAACACAAAGGCATTTTCTCAGAGTTCCGGAGGTCAGGAGCCCAACCTGGGTCCCACTGGGCTCATGTCAAGGTGAGAATCCACTTCCTGGCCTTTCCCGACTTCTGCAGGCGCCTGCGTTCCTTCACTCGTAGCCCCACCTCGCTCCCACCTCCGCTGCCTTTGTCACACCTTCTCTCCCCGACCCCTGTCTCCCTCTGATAAGGACCCTTGTGACTAGACCCATCGGGTCATTCAGGGCCAGCTCCCCATCTCACGGTCCTGAGTCACACAGGCAAAGTCCCTTCTGCCGTGGGAGGTACGTGTCCTCCGTCCTGGGGTTGGGACGTGGACACCTGTCAGGGACCCGTCACTGCACCCGTCACCGACGAGCTGGGAGACAGAGGAGATGCCATGGATGAAATGCAGGGCCTTTAACACGAGGACTAGAGAGTTTATGTAGCAGCACAAGAAAGAACTGACAATGCAACACTTTCCGAAAGAAAGGAAACAGAAACGTATGAACCCCAACGGCAACATTAAACAAATTCTTAAATGTGCAAGCGAATTCCCCAAACTGGTCGCATGTGACTTAGAGTCGTAAACCTGTTCTTAGTGACGCCGAGGAAGGACGGAAGGCACACGAGGGTCCCAATCTGCTCATGCTTC